TTCATTAGCTTAAAGGAGAGTATTAGCAATATTAAAAGTAAACATAAAAAGGTGCTTATAAATTTCCAGAATTCTTTTTCATTTGTTAATATTCATGTCATAAAACAGTGTTGTAAAGCTGTGCTTGTCAGATATAATCATGCCTTACAAACGGTATTTCAGTCATGTAAATGCTTAATTTATGTTGATAAAATATTATTGTTTTGATCGATAATATATTCGAAAACCCTCAAACACATGAAAAGACAGGATACATAATGACTAATAAAGAGCGGAGTTAAGAAAAGATAGTTTCACATAATGATAAACAAAGTAAATACACTAATTCTGTAAATGCTAAGCTAAATTTTCTTGCAAATGGAAGTACTTGATATGACTATGAGCAGCCGTAAACTGTGCTCGAAACATCATAAGTAAATACTACTGCATAGCAGTGTGAGGCCTTATCAAAATAGATTTTACCCACAATTGAATTATCCTCTATCACAGTGCAGAAGTTCTACACTTATATCGTAGGTACTTGTGTGGTGGGAGCTGGCTGCTAACCAAATTGGTAGACAGTAATTTACGTCAAGGTTTATGTACCCAGTATTGGTCGTGGGAAAAATAAGAACAAAGACTGATTCAGCAACCAGTCACATCACACTTTTCGTAGGCGGATACAATTTGCGGATAGATAATCTGAACTTCAATAAACGGCCACGAAGAGATGAAAGATTAATGTTCAGCAAGAAACCACCAATCGGAAGACGGTGTTTGTTTCCTTAAAATAATGTATAATAATGTAAATGAAAATCTATAAATTTCTATTGATTTCGTAAATAAACGATCTGTTGCCTGACCCTTGTCTTCTGTTGTTACACTTGTACTTTAATATTGATGCCACAAGGATAAACACACTTTTTGTGCTTGTAGATATCAGACCACTGTACGCAAATTTTAATAAAATCTCAGAAACATTCACACTCCTAAGTCATTATTCCATCATCAATTTACTTGTAGTCTATGAGAATAAATGGTGGATCAACTTTTAAAAAATTTCACTTACCTTTTTGAAGTTATGACAACTATGTAACTGGGAAATTTATCCGCAATCCAAGTAAAGTTTGACGAAATAGGCTTTGTGTATCCTGAAGAAATTACTTTTGCGTATTTAGGAAAATGTCACCACCAAATGTGGTACACAGGTTTCATCTCTAAGCAGGGTACAGTCACACACAACGTTGGCGCAGCAGGGTTTAATACTGTAAATATGGCAAGATACAAAACCTACTGATCCTGCGAGAATAGCAATGAAAATCAGTCAGTCCAGCTGTTCAGTCGAGATACAACTTCCGTAGTGCAAAGTGTGCACGGGAATTGTGCGGCAAATTCGTCTTCATTATCGGTGATCAAAAACAAAATATCGACGCTTGGTATACAGGGTCAGCGAGAGTGAAATGACAGACAATAGGGTGACAACGTTAAAGCTTACCAAACTAAGCTGGCGGAATGGGCACAATTCATATGAATAGTAATGCAATATAGTGGTGCATCTAGTGATACGTTATTTCAAATGTAGACAGAAATTACCCTTCCTTCACTGCACTGTTGACAGTCATAAGTATCACGTAAAATTGTCCAGTAATCAACTAAGCCGGCATTGGCACACATAAATGAAATTTAAGAAAATTCTTTAGATGTTGGATGTACACTAAATTGCACCAGTCAGTGTAACTCTGTTTTAAATTCACTTGTGGAAAACATTACATCTTACTGTAATTTATGTCCATACACAGAACCAGTGAGATAACTCATCTACATTAGAACTTCTTTGCTCATGGAGATCCCGCACTGATGACACTTGTCAAATAATTCTCTAATTTACATAATAATAGTGTTTATGGATATTCTATCTTATTATAGCAATATTTCACACAGGTCGCCTGAGACACAAACACTTTCAACCAATTTACTAAGAGTGTGCCGCAGCCAAATTACATGGCACTCACATCAATATGGTGTCTAGGCAAATCAAGGCTTCCATCAATCCAGACAATATATATAACGATTTTAGTAAAAATTATTCCTGAAACAATTTATCAAGATAAATTTCAACGAACACGCCAAACAACTCTAGCCGTGGATAAGCTAAACTTAAAGGAGTGTAAAAATTCGCTTAATTAACAAATCTCACGAGGTTAAAACTTCCACAACTAAAGGAAGGAAAACGTAATTCAGACATTCTATAAGAATAACCACCATATCTGCAGACCATGATTGCCTTTCAAACGCACTCATCCCCTCCTAACCCTGAGCTTTTACTCAGTTCAGTCTGTGAACTAGAATGGCCAGTGTAAATAAGTGTCCTACACCTACTGTCCCGAAAGAGGTTGTCACTTATGAGACATTCGTTAGTAACAGTAAAATTTTGTGACCCTGAAGAAAGAGTTGCTAGCATCTTAAGTAGTCAATTATTTATATGGTTACTTTTCACCAGCTATATCAGATTCGGATTTCAGATTTCAGACTTATTGGTTGAGGATAAAAGCCTTGGAGCCTATGCCAATCCGTTTCTAGTAAATTTCTGTGCCTGTTCAAACTCTTCTTGAATGAACCAGTTGAGGTTCCAGACACCACTTCTTCTGGGAGTCGGTTTCAAGAGTTTATGACTCGCTGTGAGAACCAGTACTCAACAGAAATATGATTTCTTCTTGGCTTTTGAACTCTTTTGCTACGTCCTCTAAGGTGTTCCGACCTGATAGGAAGGAAAAGAGAGAATAGGTCAGGTCCGTAGTCATTCTTTAAAATTTTCAACATTGTGATTAAATCTCCTCTCTGCCTAAGGTATGATAGGAAGAAGAGATTTAAACTGCCTAGTCTTTCCTCGTATGATAAGTTAGTCATGCCGAGAACCATACGTGTTGCCTTCCTCCGAACCTTTTCTAAAATGTTTGAGTCCCCTTTAAAACAATGACTGGCTGCCTGGATACAGTTTTCGAGTCTTGACCTCACCAGAGATGTATATAAGGAGGTGAACATATCTCTGGTGATTCTAGTAAAGGCTCTAAGAATTGCTCATAAGGATCTGAAACTGTGTGCAGTCACCGTGCGATAGTGTGTTGTAGTTTTTAAGTTGTGACTTGCTATGACACCTAAATCCAAATGTGTCTGGGCTGATGGGAGTGTTATTCCCTCTAATTCGAAGGAGCTTATGCTTGCGTGTGTGATGCTAATGGTTGCACATTTCGCTACATTCATAGGAAACATCCATTTTCTGGGCCACTCTGACAGTTTGTTGAGGTGCAACATGAGCGTATCACTGTCGCCCTTCAGCTCTCTCCAAATTTTTAAGTTATCTGCATGCGGCACGATAGGGGAATTGGTGAGCAGAGATAACTCATTGAGGAGAGGTCAGAGCACCATGCCTTGTGGCACTCCACTACGCAGTGCTGTCCAAGAGGAGAGTTTCGAGTTGATCCTAAACCTCTGCCTCCTATCTATGAGGAATTCCCTAGGCTAGTTTAGTGACCTGCCTTTGATATCAAGACTTTCCAACTTCATGAGTAGTTCTTTGTCAGGAACTTTATCAAAGGCTTCGCTGAAGTCTCTGAGGACGACGACAACGGGTCTTCTGTTGTCTATTGATTTGATCAAGCTTTCTCTTGCAGTGAGGAGATTCGACGGGCATGAGGGGTTTCCTCAGAAGCCATGCTGTGCTCTGGATAATAAATTTTGATTTCCAGACATGCCATGATAATATTCTTGGTGATTCTTTCCAGTGTCTTGACTAAAGTGCTGGTGAGACTAATAGGCATGTAACTTGAAGGGCTTTGTCTTGATCCTCTTTTGTGGATGGGTGTTATTATGGCGTCTATCCAGTCATGCGGTAACACTCCATTTAGAAGAGATAGCTTAAAGGTCGTGGACAACCAGGCCATCTATGTGAGCTGACAGCTCCTCGAGAAGCCTTGGGTGAAGATTTTCACGACCCAATGATTTCCCTGCATTCAGTTTCATTGAACAGTTGAGCACAATTTCCTGGTCGACGTCAGCGGAATCTATTCCGTGTTCCTCTGATGCGGCCAGAGCTGATCCTACGCGGTGTGATGACTCCTGTGCAAAGACCTGGAAGAAGTAGTCTGCAATTGCTTCTGCTTTTTCTTGATCTTCTTCGATTGTGTCATTGTCAACAGACAGGTTTGAGACACCATTGGAGTTTATACACGAGGAAATTTTCTCAGGTTGTGCCCTCGCATTTTGAAGCAGATGTGCTTCGAACTTCATCATTGATTGGAGGATTTCTGCAAAAGCTTTGTTCTTAGCAGTGTTGTTTAATTTCCTGGTCTCACGAGTCTCAAGTGTGGCAGACAGGTTCCGGCAATTGTGTTTGCGTCTGAGTAATTTGTGAAACTCTCGGCTTATCCAAGAGGGACTATGTTTCTGACCCTGTGGGACAGACCAAGGGATGAAAGGTTCAGTTACTTGGGCGTAAAAATTTTAAATTGGTTACATGCGGCTTCTACTTAGGACTCTCGGTTGATGTACCAGTTCACTGAGTTGGCTGCTGAGATGGTCGCATTTATATCAGCTTTCAAAGCGTTTGGTCGAGCTGGGGTTTGGCCCATGATGCTGCTGTTGTAAACTTGAAAGTGATCACGCTGTGCTCACTTCTTCCTAAAGGAAGGTGTTGTATGAGATCCACATCCTCACCACGCGAGAATACTAGGTTCAGAGTTGGAGAGGAGTGCTGTGCGTTATAGAGCGTGGACTAAGGCCAGCGAAATAATAGATTCCAGCAGTTCATGATCAAAATAGTTGTCTGAAGGTGGCGTTGAGAGGATTATCCAGTCAACTGTTGGGGCGTTGCAGTCGCCGACTACGAGACTTCGACATTTCAATATTTAGGAGCCTGGCTTTTATATGAGGAAGTAATCTGCACTGCAGTCAGGACTGCAGTGGGGTATAGCAATGGGGTCAATATCGCGGCCTATGGATTTAAGTCCTTTTCAAAGTGAGCGCGTTTTCATGTGGCAGGTTTGACAATAAAATCTAATGTTTTTTCTAACCTCGAAATATTGTTTTAACCCACTTTTATCATAGTGTTCCCCATAAATAAAAGCAATTAGCATGAGGTTGTGAGTGTTTGAATGCATACACTCATGAAGGTGCGGAATCCGTATAGTTCTTTTACTTCAAGGTTAAGTCACCGTACTTGTAGGAATGTCGTCGTTTAATGCTGGTCCTGCGGCGTCTGGCGTTGCACCGTTAGTCACATTTATGATTTTAACATTTTTAAACAGTGTGGAGCTCACTGCGAGCAAAATTCGCGAGTTGATGGCAAATGCGCAGAGAACAATCGCTCAGCGCAAAGTAGAACTTGGTCTGGTAAGTTTTAATTATTTTCAATCCAAATGGTCCTGTTAGGCCGAAAACGGTGCAGCCAATGGGTTGAATTTTCCATCAGGTGTGATTCCTGATACAGAAACTATTGACAAAATGAGAAGAGCGGCCCAGCTGCAAGCTCAGATAGCAGCCCGTCTGAATACCGGGATCCTCAGTAGTCAAACAGTCAACAATGAAACCAGGTAAAATAGTGACACGTGTTTATCATTAATCACTAGGAAGTCGAAGGACATTCCCAAGTAAGTTTAGTCCAATCAACTAACTAACTGGCTAGTGTAATTTTTGACGAGGAAGGTAAAACTATCGATGCAGCTACAGGAGAAGAGATACAGCTAACTCATTATACACCTACTCTTAAAGTATAGAATAGAATAAATTTGCTTATTTACTTCAGGCCAACCTTAGAGCGAAGCGAGCTCAGCAGTTCAAAGAAGTTCTTCAAACTACGGCCGAAAAAAAACCGCGGAAATCATCAGTGTCAACAGCGTATTTTGATCCTCGACTTAGGTAAGACCTAAGATTGCTTTAATTTCCTATCAGGGTTAAAGCTGCTGCGCGACCTAAGCGAGCACTTAATTTTCACGAACCAGGAAAATTTGTCAAGATGGCACAACGAATGCGCACTAAGCACCAACTAGAGCTTTTGCAGGAATCTGTAGCTCATGCCGTCAGAAAGACAGGTATAGCCAGTGCGGCCAAGCTGTCAACTATTCAACCGAAGCATTCGGTCGATGAGACTGACCTTCCTGCATTGGAATGGTGGGATGCCTATATTTTAAAGGAAGGTGTGACCAGGTAGGTAAACAGTTGCATGAAAACATTGTTTAGTTATTCAACTTTGGATGAGCTTGCGATACATGGGCTTCCTGTTTCTGCCGCCATAAATAAATCATGGATAACAAGTCTAGTTGAACATCCGGTAAAACTGAAGCCCCCAACTGATCTGTCTAAGCCACCAGAAATACCTCTGCTCCTAACGAAAAAAGAGCGTAAGAAGTTGAGGCGTCAAAACCGCCAGGAGGCTCAAAGGGAAAGACAAGAAAAAGTCAGACTTGGATTAATGCCACCTCCCGAACCGAAGGTATGCTCCTTTATTTGATGTGTGAAATATATTTGTTTCTAATTGATTCACTGACTCACCTATGGGCCTCATGCCACATTAGGCAGCCAAGACGTTACTTAATGTATGCGAAAATTCTAGAACAAATCCACCTTCATTATCGGTGATCATTACGTTTGGTTACGTCTGATGTAGAATCGATCCTGTATCATTTAGGTTTCTCTGTAAAGTGGGTAATTACTGTAGAGGCTGATTCTTATTGATAGGTGAAATCAGCAGTCAGACGCTTGTAGTCGCTTGTACTTTTGGATTGGTAGGAAAATCACACATTACTGTCATCGAATGTCTGCATCTAAACTAGTGCCTTTGCTTAAGTGGATTTTTTATGCATCTTAATGAGTGTTATGTACACAAAATCACTGCTGCATTCACATCGTAACAGTATAAATGAGTACTGAGGAGAATTTATTATATATTTAGGGGTTTGCAGGTTTTTAGTTTCTCAGTGTACACTAATGAAACTCATGTACCTTATGTTGTGAATGCTGTCAAAACTACAGTTCCAAACAGGGAGAATAAATATACGGATCCAGTAGAATACTGTTTACTGTGGTTACATCGGTGTTTTGCACAGCAAATCCTTTCATTGTTCAGAAAACTGCGCCCGATACGCAGTCATGGGTAAGCTGTCTGCTTACGCTGGGCGATGAAGTAAGCTAAGGATGATGACCAGTATTCAAGTCGCTAGTCTGCGTTATCTTTTCCTATGTAAGCTAGCAGTACTCTTCCACAGTAGATCAGTTGCTGGAAAGCTAATGTGCGACTGCCTAGAACGTTATATATTACAAAGCGAACTGTACCGTCCTCAATTTTAAAGATAATACATGCATTTCCCATACTGTTTTTCCAAGTTCCCGTATCTGTTCAAAATATGTATCTGGTTTTTACTTAATTACATGTTAGGTTCGCCTGGCAAACTTAATGAGGGTTCTGGGTTCAGATGCTGTTCAAGACCCAAGTAAGGTTGAGGCGTATGTACGAGCGCAGATGGAATCTCGCAAACGTGCACACGAAGCTGCTAACGCTGCTCGGAAACTGACAAAAGAGCAAGCCCGTTATAAACGCATAAAGAAAATCCGGGAAGACACTAGTCATGTAGTTCACGTAGCGGTTTATAGGTAGGTTTTATCTACTTTGACCCAAGTTTTAGGGTAATATTTATTGTTAGAGTTACTTTACTGTATAGTACATTTATGCATAAATTGTTTAACATATTTAAAGTTTTTTTTGTTAACTGTTTACGGCATACAGTTCTATATTGAATATTTTCAAGCCGTGATGATATGACAGATGACTTGTCTCCACTATTCCATCAAAAATTGTTGAAGGCTTTCACCAACTTCATAGTCCTTAATTCACATTGTTTACTTTGAAACCAAATAAGAGTAGATAGTCTAAATAACAACAAAAAACAACAATCGCAATTAATTCTGCTTAATCCAAACGCTTTTATTTGTTCAATAGTACAGATTCTGTACAGAATTCTAACACATAAGCACTACTTTAACCCTCAGTAAATATTTACAAACTTCCTCATGCGAATAACCCTTGTCTTAAAAAATATTGGATGTGGTGCTCAGTATAGTCTGTAGCACGGAATGAGCTAACCAGGATATCGCTTAGGTTGTATGAGTCAGGTGAAACCCATCTTAACCGGTCTCGACCGCTGATTCTCTCAGATTTAAAGAATTTGCCCAGTTTCTTCAATTATATGATAACTAGTTAAAACTCAGAGTAAACATACTCAAGGATATTTATTTTACCTAAGTGTGAACTTACCCACACGAAATAATCAAAAGATGATTTATGGAAAAAGGAAGTGAAGTGATTTAAGTAAAGTAGAATGAAACATGTAGGCTTGTTTATCAAGTCCATTCAAAGGTGCGTTCATTAATTCATATTACTTTCGGAAGGGTAAAAGATAAAAATTTGTAGTATGTTCGTCAGTGAATTAATTCTTAGCCGCATCCGACGACTTATTGCGTCATAAGACCTCTTGGACCTCACTTAGGTGGTTATGATGCAGCAGCAGATACAAAAACAGTAAATCATCGTTCATCTTGCAACACAAAGTAATGGTTCAGTCACCTCTTCACTAAGTACCGTCTAACAGTAATATGGAAAATTGCACATTGGTTCATATAACCTCATTTCCCCGGAAGCTCTACCAGAAATAAATAAAAAGAATATATGGTTAACATAAATGATCCCCGTTGTTATAAAAATGCTCTAGAAAATAACTCAGAAGTTGAGGTGTATCTCTTATCCTTATCACATGTCCTCCTAGCTAGATCGCACTAAGTTCCTAAGATCTCAGGCATCATCTTGTTTGTCATCCACAGATTGTCTCAGTCTCAGTACATGCCTTTTATTCTAATAATTGGCCGAAAAATTTTTTGTGACTATTTACAACAGTCGTGTCTCAAAGTAATTAATCGGAACTAAGTGCTTGAGTTTTTGGCATATTTAGTTGGTAGTGGATTCGGTGAAAAGTAAGGTGGATGAACTGTTGCTATCAGTAATCCTGTTATAAAGCAGCACGTAATGATAGCAGTCATTGCAGTTGTCTAGTAAATACAGTGGTAATTGTAAAACTTGTCGGAGGCTGATATTTTATGATATTGGCATATTTCTTTTTTAATTTTATAAATTTCTCTTCATAGGGTGAAAGATTTTTCTAATCCATCTCATCGATTCAAGGTGGAAACTAACGCTAACCAGTTGCTCATGTCGGGACTTGTCGCACTACATAGCGATTGCAATGTAGTAGTTGTGGAAGGTGGTCCTAAACAACAACGCAAATTTCAGCGTCTCATGCTTCATCGAATAAAGTGGCGTGAAAGTAAACGGGGAGTAATTGCCACAACGTCTGAGTCAGATAGTGATCCTGGTTGTCGTTTGATTTGGAAGGTATGCTGATAATTAAAATTAATTACTGAATCAGTTTGTTAACTCTTCGTTTCCTATTTTTAGCTCACTATAGTTAAAGGTCATGTGATTTAAAAGGAGTTTTTATATCGAAATAATGTCAGCTTTAGGTTCACTAAAATCAAAACAACAATTCGATCCTGTATGTAAATTGTTCTTTTTTGTAACAATTTATTTCATAACTAGAATACTCAACCTCTTTCAGATACATTATTTCTGTCACTCCATTTGATATGATAATCAGACCTAAGTGGGTTGAGCCCATTGCCAAATAATGACTAGCATTGAGCTATTATTCGAAATTTAAACAGTGTTTCAGCTACTGTCATTTCTCAGATGGAAAACTGAAGATTGGATGCTTTTTATGTATAAGTTAATTCTTATGGCAAAGGGGATTATGTTTACTCCGTTTAAAAATAAACATTTTATGTGGGTATAGAAAGACGACATGCATTTCTTGTTGATTCATGGACTAACACGAAGAATCAGTTTCGAACTACTGGTGTAACGACAGAAGACTGTTTATTGAGAAAATCAAGAGATATTTATAGATTTTTATGTACATAATTGTCAGTGGAGAAGCAACGTCTTCTGATTAGTTTTTCTCTTGCTGAAGGTTATTCTGTACTGCTTGTGGCCGTTTCTCAGAAAGTTAAGCCACATATTTGCGGGTCCTATTTGCACACATTAAGTCTGCTGTGATTGGTTGGTCAGTTCCTCAGGGTTAAGCTTTGTTGTCGTTGTTCTCATGACCCTGATTCCGGACGTAAAGTGATGTTTAAAATGTTGGCTTGTTCGCAGCCAGTTCTCACCACACTCGGAGATATATATGTAATTCAAAACATGAAATGTTTGAGTTTTATTTGTAATTTCATTTGATTATCGCAGTCGTGTTTACTTGTAATAACGTTCTACTGGTGTGTTAAAGTGGTTAGATTTTCCCAGGGATAATTAACATTTACAGCTATATTTGTTTTGTGTTATTCTATGGAGTTGTGAAGCAGATTTCGTTACTGACTCTCACCTATCAAAACACCACAAAGTGGGGGGGGGGGAGAGGACCTCGATAACTGTGTCCTTCTAGTTAAGCGCTTAGCATTTCAAACTTACCATCCTGGAATCTTCACTTTGTGAGGTGGGCATATTTTTTATTCTTCCACTTGACTAAAGTTCAGTAGTCTATCATGAGTCCCAAAATAAGATGAAACATCTGTCAGATGCTGCTTGACTTGCAATACTTTAACTGATGTCGATGTAAGACTATCCAACTATATATATAGTTCTTATTTGATCATATGCTAATAACTTATTTGCGTGTTATTTTTCAGGGTACGGTCAAACAGCGTGCATTTGACAAGATACAATTCAAAGCATGTCCTACAGAACTGTATGCACGTGAACAATTTCGCAAGCGTGATGTGGAACACTACTGGGATCTAGCGTATAGTGGCGCTGTTTTAGAAACTCTCGACGTATAAAATCTTTCAAGCCTTTTTTAGTGTGTTAAAAAATAACTTAATAAATTTATATTTCAGATGTAAATACAAGTGTATATCTTTTTCAGAGTTTTATTGAATCACTATATTAAACAACATAATATTGTACAAAATGTTTTGTTTTTTCAATAGGTATCAATATGCTTTTAAAACGAGTAAGGTGTTCAGTGTTACAGTTAGAGGCCGATTACCTTTTGTTATGTTTCAGTTGTTCTTCCTGTTATTTTGTTTACTAATGTTAGATCTCTGTACCCTTTTTCTAATTTCTAGTTTATTGAGATGTCAATTTTTCAACTGTTTGATTTCAGCTTTTTTTGTGTGTTTACGCACATCTTGGCTCACGAAGTTTTGTACTGTATCAGTTTGGCTTAAGTCAGTGAGACTTGGAGTTTCCGGAAACATTGATCTGTGGAGAGTTCACATGCATGAATTGAGTATGAAAGCGAGTGTGACACTTAAACAAAATTCTTGGTTGTGTGCACTTAGTTATTTCAGAGTTAGTGTGAAATACTGTATGTGTATAGGTTATATCTTTAATGATATGCGGTCTGTCTTTCATAGTAATCGCATAACATCTCAGTTTATTTATACGCTATTGGAACATGTACCTGTGTATGCAAGAAGCCGTATTTTCTGTATAAATAAGTACCTCACTCCAACGTGTCATTTGAATCGTGTTCATTTTTAAACTACCGGTGCGAAAAAGAGAACGCCACATTTTGTAATGAATTAATTCTTTAATATACTTGACTTTTGTCCAGCAGCTCACGGTCTCAGATGGCGCTGTGCCTATCGTTTCTAAAGTAGTCATGTGTTATCATCAGTCCTCACATAATAAATGTAATACAAACTTTACTGCATTGCTATTAATTTTGGATAATATATGGAAGCTATTTTTGGTCTTAGTAGTGATAGTCCTGCAACTGTTCTACCAAAACCTATTTTATGACGAAGTACTTGTACGTACGACATTTGGAAGATATTGAATTCTCCACCAAATACTTTCTCGTAGAGCTTTAAAAGTAGTGGAGGTGGTGATTCGTTAGTCATGGTTATCACGAAATCGATCTGGAAGTTTCGTAATGGCTGAAATGCTTTTGTTACTGTTTTGCACTGACTGAATTAATGCTAGGTGACTTAACAGTTGCACTCGTTTTTACTGTGACCGAATGTTACCTACCCGTGGTAAAATATTATTTGCACTGAAATAATATTGGATTATAGAACAACTCTTCATCAGTTCATGTCGTGGATATGGTTTTTATTTCATCACCTAAATGTCACTTACACAAGCTTCAGCTAGATAATCGAAATACTAACTATTTGGTAGAAAGCTGATGGAATAATGAGAAAACAACGGTTTGAGCAGGATAAGGTGGTATCGTTTTATTTTGGTTTTGCTTTATTCAATTTCATAAAGAGGAGTAAATGTATTAAAACAAGAAGTTAACATCGAAGAATAGCATAGAAGGCCATTAGACAGACAATAAATTCATATCAATAAAAATAAGGCTCTGTTTCTCTTCTCTATGACAAATGACATATGTTGGATAGTGACTGACTTAATGACCTGAAAGTGTATAAAAGTGCTTTGGTTCAATTAGCTACACCTTACAAATTAAGAAAATAACAATGGACGAAGGTGCGAATTCGAAGCATAGTTTATTTACTCCAGTGCAGCTGAATGTATGTAAGTTGTAATGACAGTTATGCAAGAAGAATGTTAACATCATGGATACTCGTTTATCAGGCAATTACGACTATTAATTGCAGCTGGCATGTGACATAACTATGGATCTACATCAACGAACGGAATTCCCCTTATTGACGAAGAAGTACGCTGGTATTCAGATTGCTAATACGCATAAAAGTACTATTGAACAATAAGAGAGGGTAATACAGTGACCTAGGAGTGTCTCTGACAATCGAGAGTTTTTATCTGCATAAGAAACACATCATCTGTGACAAAGGTAATGTCATCGAAGTGATAATCATCTTGTTCAGTGACTGTCATATTCCAGTCCGATCAACTTGAGATTGTGAGATCGACTTGGAGTTACGCTTGTATATTTGTTGAGAGGATCCTATGGTTCTCTCAAGAAATCAGTGTACTGGAGGCCATCACCAAGTTGTCAGTATGCTGATGGTTTCGAATGTATTTAGGAACAAAAATCTTCAAGAATTAGAGTGATATGTACCAAAGATGGCTCATAGTGAGCTAGGACGACTCCGAAAGTGCCCCTACAAAATAAACAGCCTACAAGATTCACCGACGAACGCATAGGAGTGAAATGATCAGAAAATTTCCCACACCTCCCAGCATATTTCTGTTTATAAATACTGAATTTAAAGGTGGTACTGCTGTTGAAATGCTGGAAAGTTGCCTATCCAGATTATTCAGAATAGCTTTTTCTCCGTTGAGTCATAGATTAATGTTTTCAGTTGGCAATCGAATGACGTAGGTGTGAAGGAAAAACTACCGTTTTCCTTATTCCAATGTATCTACAAGTCCACTTACCACTGTGGAGTTGGATATACAGGTTAGACAGCGCTCAATTTCCAAACTCACTTCAAAACACTATCGAGCGTGGTTATCCAGAGGGCGATGCACGTCGATCATTAGCTAAAATCTGGAGCATCCGGTAAGGCAGGTCCACGCAGCTGGACCTGAGTCCCCTTTTAAGATTATCTTCAAGATGTGTCCGATTTCAACACATACGGTGGAGAACTAGTTTTCAAGCTAGAATCCTAATATATTTATCGGGAATTAGGTGAGTCATTTCAGGACACGCAGTCATGTTTAGGACAACACTTTCCTCATAATATTGAATAATAGTTGCTCTTACATGTCAGTGGGAATCTTGTGAGGTAGCGTCACAATTTTATTTCAGTCGTTCTGAACCACACAACGCCTATTACAACAGAAGGCTCAAATATGTAAATAGACTGAAATCCTAAACTTTTAAAGTGTATTAAGTAGGTCTTACAGAAAGTGTCACAGGACTTACCGATTGAAGGTGTTAACTGTTTCCTCGTCTTCACAGCTTGACACTGGTTCAATGCAGAATTACTCATATTCGCCTAGCGTATTACATCCTGCATACTTCATTGTCGTGATTGATATTTGACAATCCCTTCAGAATATTCAACTATTAAGGATAAATAAAATTGGATAAGCAGGGTTATGCTTATTGTGAGGCATAATTCATCTGACGTTTATGTTATTCCATCAAAAGGTTTATGTATAGTTTTCTTATAACTTGCCTCCAAATCTGATACAAGTATGTTGTCCGCGCATAAAGAGAAGCGACAAAATTGCTCTTTTAGCTCTGGATATGCTAAACTTTGGTTTATTTCAAGGTCGATTTTGTTACGAACCAAGATCACGTTGAGACGAAGTCTAGTGTGGAATTATTAAATAAAAAATGAGACTGAATGGTGTTTTCGCTGTGTCGAGTCAGGAAAAGTTAAATATGAACCATACAATTTCGGTCTCATTGCTAATGCGAAGTGTGATGGCTCTGAGTGGAGTCTTTCGCTGCCTAGTGCATGTACACTGAGAAAATGGTACACACTAGAATGAACCAGCTCACCAATCCCTCCTAGTTGCTTATGTGATATATCCATTCATATAATTCATGGACATTTTTAATAGTTGATTTTTAATGTGAAATGGTATGTCGATAAATTTTTGGTAAAGTTAAGTGATTCTTACCCTATAAAATCTCTTATCTGAATTGGTATTAAAATTCAGACCAAGAAGTCCTCTGATGTGCAGAAGAATGATTCGGAGATTACTGTAGGTGGTGAATCAAATGAATCAGACCAGTGTGATACAACTAATGAAATATCCTCAAACAAAGCTGAATTGCCAGGGATGACGTCAGCTGTCAACGAAACTACCAAAAGTTTCAATAATTCAGTTGTAAAACGACGAGTAGCTGGTGCCTTTAAGAAAGTGAAACAAACAATAACAGTAGCTAACTTGAAGAGTAGTTGGAACACGTCATCTGTGTCCTCACTGTCACGTGGTAAAATTGAGCCATCCAGTGGAAACAGTGAAGAGTCATCATGGTCAGAACCACAGGTAATGTTTAATTACCGTTAATAGCTGTGACTATATTATCTGATTTCTCCGACACGAGAAAGGAATGGGAAATACAGCTTTGGCAGATATTTTTGTATTTCTTTACATTCAGAGTGGAACATAGGGCTTCAGACTAGAGCTTTGAAGTTTCGGTAGCAGTGGTTTTTATTTATACGGGATGGGGTTGCTAGATGCGAGCCCAACCTTCATTCTTTCATGGCCTTACTACCGGCTCAGCGAGGTTTAGGAGTGCGTCGACCGAGAATCGGTCTCCCGACCATGTGTATGGTTGGCGAGCTTTTTACAGCTGAACCACCAACGCTATGGGCAGACAGTAAATTTACAAAAACGGATAACAAATGGTTAGAAATATTGGAGAGAGTGTCAACACCTTTTGGAAACCGAGTAGTAATAAGGGTGTCATTTGGATTGAATCTTAATAGTAATTTGAAATCTGAAGACTTTTCCATAGCTACCAACTATGCCGTCGTTCTGAATTGTTTCAGGAGTTTCCTTACACCATACATCTTCGAAGTTCTGAGGCCATTAAACTTCATCTTGTCCATGGTAAAATGAACAGTGGTGAAGACGAGGGAGGATTACTTACTAGAAGAAAGTAAGACGAATATCATTAAAAACGAGATATCGTAATCACTTCAGTTCTTGTAAATGATATCCAACGTACACATGGAATATGTGTTACCTTTTAGTTCCTCTTTGGTTACATTTATTCAGTCGTGTCACCCAGTACCTCATGTTCCTTTCCCCAGGAAAGTTTACTGGCCAGAAGTCATTTACCATTACCTCCTGAAATAGACTAAATTAAGCTACTTAAATGTCATCCTAATTAAATCTTATTCGGTTTATTATTGCTTACTAGAACTTCATTATAAAATTCTATTTTTTATATAGAATGACAGCAGATTTTAATATGAATCTAACGTAATAACAGAAGCATGGAGATACGCTTTCACTTGCATGGCTGACGAGCATTCTACCACTGAGCCAACGACACAGGACTTTCTTTGCATAGTTAGGACTATTACTCTTTCTGCCATTTCATTGATTTTATCTTTTTTGTCAACTGTTTATTCTGAATTTATTAATTACCTCCTCAATTTGTATATAAAAGCGTGATGACTTCGACAAATTCTAATTTGTATTGATTCCTAAGTTTTCGATTGTTTACCGGCTCTGCTCCAATTAAATTGACAAAAATGTTTACAGATTTAGTTTTAAACAAAATTAAATGAAATCATCTGACAAAATGAGAAGTAATAATCGGTAGACTGGATTACTATATTTGTACACTGATCTAATACTTGCATTAAGATAAATGATAGGCTGGAAGAGAACTTTAAAGTGAACTCTGACAGACACAAACATGTTAACATTTCTTTCTTCACATTTTCTGTTGTTTTTTTCAGCCATTAGATAATACTTCAGTTGACAAAGTAATGAACCTAGATGACTTTATAACTAGTGTGCTACGTCAAACGGAAGGTGAAACTGTCGAAGCACTATATGATAAATATTTATTACCATCACTCAATGAAAGGATAAGAAAAGATTCATCTGTACAACAAAATAATGCCAATCTTGAGACACGTGAGGAAGTATCAGATAAATTGATGGTCGATGATGATGTAGGTGCTCTTGTTGAAATTTTTTAGAAGATTTTCATAAATGGTCATATTTCTTAGCGATGTGTCTTTCGTTTTTTCATGGAATCATTTGGATTCTTTAGTGAACTATGAAACGGTGACAGATTTTTGACCTAAGGATCAAATGGGGTTTCCTACGGGCACATTGAGTTTTGGTATTCAGTTTGAATAAAAAAACGAATTGCCTGATTAATATTACTTCAAATATATTGGTGTATTGGGAAGGAAGGTACCCATGAAGGGATTATAGTAACCCTTGAGTGTGTTCACTCTTGACAATGGACGCTAAAAATTATTTGGAACAAAGTAGTATGTGCATGTTTGTGTATCCGCTAATTTATTATGAATCGCTTGTGGATGTTATAGAATGCTACTGAATGGCTTAAGATATTACCTGGTATTGTTCGAAATCGTGATCAGTGGCTGTCATTCTGCAAAGTGACAAACGCTCCCTGAATGTGCGTATCGTTCACTTTTTTATACATTGATAATCCCTCTTTTCGATAGTTTCTTATTAGGCTTTTCATTTTTCTAATAAAGTTATTGGGCATGCATACTTGATGCCATTGTGGTTGAAAGAAATAAGTACGTGAACTAGTGGGTAATAATCAAATTGATCATAATCAAAATAACAAGGGTATTTCATGTAAGTGTTTATCTAATCTAGGCGGTCAGCCATTGTAAACATATAAGTAGAATGTGTATATTTGTAGTGGTAGGGATTAAAAATATATATGGTATCATTTATTATTATATTATTATTCCATTGGGTTCCGAGTGGGGCATAGGCCTTCAACGATACATCTCCACTTTGTTCTATTCTCTGCTGTGCCCTGCAGCCAGGTGTATGACTGACCATAACCTCTAATCTCCAACTCACACGATCTCCTCCATGTCACCCTCGCACCGACGACCCACTCGTCACTTCCCATTCCATTGCAGTTCCACTCGAATGATGGATAGCCTGCATTGCGGCCGATGTCATTTGGCGGCCTCCTCAAAGTACGCTCGATCAACCAATCTCCATTTCCTCCTACTTATTTGTTGAGCAATCGGCTCTCAACTGTTGATTTGTTCCACTGAAGATTTTCTTGTTAATTCTTTCTGACCGGCTGGCCAACCAAGCTGCAGGATTGGCTCTGGCTAGTGACGCACTCAATCTTTTGTTGAATATTGCTGCAATATTTTCACCTTTAAAATCGAGTTGAATGAAGATGGGCTTTTACCGCACTGTAATTTGTCTGATGTTTGAGCCTTCATATCTTCCATATTTGTTGACGAATCTCTGAGGTTAACCGTTGTTTTCCAACATCTTTTCGAGAATCGTAAGTTATTCCTTTAGAGGCTGCGGGTATTGACGTTCGCGAGTTGTACGGATTTATACTAACGCAAGATCTTATACCAACAACTTCTATAGTGTTCGTTCTTCGAGTACCAAAGATAAAGCAAAAGACCAAATTTTGTCGTCCAAAGTACGTAGTATATTTCGGGACAAAATTGCGGGTAGAGATGAATGCTTAGCTAGCTAGTAATCGTGCACGCACGTGACACGACGGAGTACCAAATGGCGGGGATACTTGACCGGAAGCCTTCAGCTAAACAAGTCGACTTAAACAGTGATGGTCAGCATCCAATGTTGAGTGATGATTGCTGTGGTTAATAATTTTGGGGAATTATTTACCGCTACATTCCTCTGATTTCTCTACAGAGCATACTCTCCTTGCTCTACAGTATCGAGTCTTCACTGGTGCTCCTTTATAGTTAACCATTTAGACAAAAACTATTGACATGTAGGTATGATCCATTCCATGTAGCCTTTCGGTTAATTGACCTCTGGAGACTACCATCTTCTAGGCGTTACATGGCAATGTCGAGGAAATGGAACTTCTCATTTTCTTGTTCCATAGTAAATTCAGTATTTGTATGTGCGTCGTTGAATAATCTGAGTAGGTAGGAAGCATGAATTTCATTGTTGCATACTACAAATGTGTTATCGACATATCGTTGTTTCATTGGTTGCATACTTCAACTTTGTTTTCTCAAGGTTGGATATGACCACCAGTGACTATAATTTACATTATTTCAGGTAAATTTAGACCAATTAATGAATGATGCTATAAAGAGGTCGCTGACATTATCAACTAGTCAAGTGTATAAAGAATATTTTGAAAGTGCTACAAATGATAAAATTTACGAACAAATTGTTCGTCTGGGGGATGATTTCATGAATACAGATCAGTCAAATGAAGATAACAAAGTTATTGGATTCATACTACAAAACAGTGAGACAGATGGGCAAGAATTGTTACCAGATTGCAGTAATGGTGAAAATGGATTTACCGATGAAAAACAAGAGATAAGTGTGAACAATAAGGAGAATGACTTACCTCTTCACGGTAAGTGTGATTAATAAGTTTGAATATTTTATTATTAATATTATTTTCAAGAGTTGATTTGTAAGGATTTCATTTGTTTTTCGAGTTTGACCACAGATTGATATCAGTTAGAGAACCATTGAAAACCGGAGAGTACTGGACAACTGTTTCATCCTAGTTTGGGACTCATTGACAGTACGCACACACTGGATGTCAGACCCAGATTTTGGTTTTCACCGCTTCCCTGACTGATATCAGTCCTTGGTCTAACTCGAAAAACAAATGAAATCCGTGCAAATCAACTCTTGAAATTTAATATTATTTACTATTTAATTGTCAGCTTGAGATTTACGGCTTGTTAATGCTTTGTAAAGTTATTATTTTCTGGTTCATAGAAAAGTTTTATCCACAAAACAAACGTATTAAAGCGACTTCAAACTCTTAACTAAGTGAGAGAAATTCATGAAAAGGTGTTGTGAATAATTTGGACTGAAGGTATGTAGACAGTGAATTATGAAATTTAGTAGCCCAGCAAAAATAAAGTGATTACTATTTTAGTCAAGTGTATATTCTGAAGAATACAGATTGATAGTTTGTTAGTGGTTCGGATGAATAAATCGATAGGTGACTTAGTTTTGCTGACAGTCTTCGTTTCATCATCGAGAAAGCCTTATTTGTCTCTATATCTTCAACTTATGCTGGTCTCCATTTGAAAAAACCAATTACGTATGACCAACCTAGACTTTTAGGATTAGTTTTTGCCGTTTGAATAATCAAGTGTGATAAAATATTTTACCTGTGTTGATGAGGGTTCGCATGCGTAAGTAAGTCGCATTACATCAGTATCATTTATGAAGTAGCTAAAACATTTTCCATTTTTGATTTTACAGGTACATGGGTTGAATGTGTATTGTGTTTAAAATGGAGGTTTTTAGAAGAAATTTTAGATCCAAGCCTTCTTATTGAATCTTGGCATTGTGGACTTCAGCAGAAATATAAAACTACTGATAAATCACAAACTGAAGCTAACGTTTATGCGATAAATCCTTGCGATGAACCACAACAAGCATTGGAAACCGATGAAATTTCTAATTCATACGTCTATACAAAGTTTACTGCTGGCTCATTAGTATGGGCTAAATTAGATGGTAAATCATGCACTCAGTAAAGGAAAAAGAGTTATATTTTTATTTTGATTACTTAGGGATTGTGTACTTTACTCTGTTGTAGAGTATTTTCAAATAAAACTAATTGATATACTGTTAAACTACTCAAAAGTTTGGGCATATATGCATCTGAATAGAGCCTGAGAATAGGTTAAATTCAGTCTGTATTTTTATGTCCGTCTAGTCGTTAACCTTTTTTTATATAGTAGTACAAATATTATTAAAGTGAGTTCTTTCAAAGGCAATTATAGTAATTGTACATGCAGTATTTATTAGATGTTTAGGCCGTGTTAAATGCATGATGAAAGTGACGTAACTGTGCCGTCTTAAGTGCCAGTCTAGCAGCTGCATGAATAACTGGTCGGTTAGTTCCTAAGCCGTTAAAATACTTAAGGCAATGTTGGAATCATAATTTAGGTACAGTAATTGAAATGTATTTCACTAGCTTTATAACGTATCGAGTGCTTACATTTTGGAGAATACGTATAAATAAGGATTTAGATTGAATTAACTGTGTTCTCTGAGGAGCTGGTTGATTTAATTGACATTGATTCAATTTGTCGTCCTTCAAGACAACATCGCTTCAGCGCAGGTTTCAGCGTAAAATGAACTCATTTAAATTCTCCATGAATGATGTAATTGTGTCTTCTGGTAACCACTGTCTTGACTGGTTGTTAATTTACGTCTCTATTGATCATTTTTATTGACTTGGAATCCAAACTTTCTTGTCGTGTGATTCACTTTTTATTAGCTGGCGAATTTGTTCTATAATAATGTGTTTGTTAATCGCTGGTTGACTCACTTGAGTACCTGGCTTCTAGGAATTCCCTGGCGGCACTTTGGGTGTTTCCTTTATTTAAAATTTCTACATTATCCCAACCAAATTGGTGTGTGTAGTTATCTGCATGCATCGATATGACAGAATGCATGTCGTGCTTTTTCATAGCCAATCTGTGTTGTCTAAAAGGCCGACGAAAGCCTCACAATTAAGTCAACTTACTCAGAGAACACAACTGATTCAATATCACCCACCTAATCCACAAATCTTCTTCATTATTTCAAAGGTTTAGATTTTCTGGTTGAGACGTTTTCCAGGCTGGTGCTTGTTGAGCGGACATTTTAATGGCATCTATTTATCTTCTTCAGTGCGTTTTGTTATTTAGCTTCTATATGGTATTTGTATTCAATTCCAACCTTGTTGGTCAGTGGTAATAACCCTAATATAAGTACTTGATGCCAAGTGGATGCACTAGTTGTAAAAGGCATCATGGTTCCTAGTGTTTTTAAAGCTGATTTTTGGCTGTGATGAAAATTATTCTGATATAATTTGCTTCATCGTATAGTGTTATTTAAAAAAACACACAATATCATTCAACTGTTTTCGTGAGGGTGAGGAAACAGTAAGATAGATAAATTTTCATATATCACAGAAGAGGTTTCGCTCTTAATTTATATTTCTAACTGTTCATTTTTACCTATTTAGGTTATCCTGAATGGCCAGCTATGATAGACTGTGATGCAACAGGTCAATTTGCTGAATTTGATGAAGAGACTAGAGAAGTGATTCGTTATTCTGTTGTTTTTTTGGATCCCAATTTAGTCACTCGTCAGTCTATTAGAGCTAATCGGATTAGAAAGTATTTATATGGTGAAGAGGAAAAGATATCGAAGGTGAGGTATAAAAAAGTGAATTTCAGTATTTAACGCATAGCTACTGAAGCATTTGTATCATTTCGTGATATTAAAATATCTTTAGAAAACAAGTATTGTCACATCGGTCATGAAAATATGCATAACTATTGTATTAGATGGTTGCAAGCAATCGGCAGGAAACCTTGCTCGACCTAGGTTTCGTTCTAGTCGGCATTCGTCAGCAAGGCGTATCTGCAGCCTTGAAGGAACTTGTGTCCCTTCTAATATTCGAACCCACGTCAACCAGCGCTGCAATCAAAAACGTTACCACTGAGCTATTTTGCACCAGACAAAATACTAGACATACTACACTAATCACTGACTAGTGTCCAATCAGAGTATGGCTATTGTATTTAAAAAATACTTCTATACATAAAACGTACATCTTAGTATAAACTCAGGCACTCTCAGGTATAGAACACAGTAATGTAAAGGTTCTCATAATTCACTGAAATCAGATTAAAAAAAGGGATTTATCTGGTTTCAAGTTGTAATCACAGATTGGTACCAGTTAGAGTACCATTGAAAAATAGGAACTGCTGGACAGCTGTTTCGTTCTAGTTTGGAAGCTTTCAGTAGTAGGCGCGCAAAACTCTACCGGGAATCGAACCCAGGTTTTTTGGTTACGAGGCAAGCCCATTGACCAGCCAGCCACTGGGAAAGAATCCAATAGCACATGAATTTTAAATTCTAACAATTAGCGAATTACAACGCTACCACTAATTAATGTCATCACACCTGGTCTGGTGGACCTCACTAGTTATGATTTCTCGCAAGAACTCCAGACAACTTCTTCCTGCAGTTACTCAGACTCGTCTTGGGTCCATGGGTACATACCGCTGATCAGTCCCAAACTAGGGCGAAACAGGCATGCAGTAATTTTAGGTTTTCAACAGTTATCTGGCTGATGTCAGTCCATGACCGAACTTCCAATTAATCAAATCCATGCAGAAACAGTACTTGAAAATTAATTTGATGCTCACTGGTAAATGAATACAAGATAAATTGCCTGTAGTTCTAGTGAGAAGTCATGACCAATACTTGGTTCGTATTTGTCTAAGACCCACATGTAGTAATTAGTTTGGAAAATGACCGATTGTACTGAATCACTGAACTATACATATGGCCTCTCCGAACGGCTCAGACTAACTACTAGTGACAAAAAAAAGATGGCCGTCGTTTGTCAAACTGATATGAATATAAGAAGATGGTAAGTGAAGGTTACAGGATGTGTGAATCTCAACAGAACTGGTAAAGGTAACTTCCGGCTTATTGGATGAGCTAGAAAACATTGTGAAAGGACTCTAGGTGAATATAGAGAAGATAGAGGTGATGAAGATAACCAATCAACAACAACCAGCGTCAATCACTATCAATAGAATCAATTTGAAAGAGGTCACTTCCTTCCCTTGATCTCACTCAGCCAGTATAAACAACGAGATTCGGATTCTGTTCAACATAAATGTGAAGTCAGTCAGTCATTTCTTCTATATGGGTCAGAAAGTTGCACTGCGTGTCACGAAAGGCATTTCCAACAAGCCATTGCAGACTTTCATCAACAGATGCCTTCAATGTCGTTCACTTCACTGGCTGGCTCCATACTGAAGATCAACTCACCGGGCAGTCGGCCGACCAGAAACAATTACCAACAAGAAACTCTTCAGTGGAACAAACCAACAGTTGAGAGCCGATTGATCAACAAATATGTAGGGGGAAAAAGAGATGGATTGATCGGGCATACGGCACTGAGAAGGCCGTCGAATAACATCGCGTGCTGTGCAGGTCATCCATCGTTCAAGTGGAATTGCAATGGAATGGGAAGTGACGAGTGGGTCGTCGGTGCGAGGGTGACATGGAGTTTTTTGGAATAAAGCAAATCACTATTACTCTTATTTTTATTAGTATCTCATTTCTCAGTCCTCACTTTGTGTTTGTAAGTTACCTTTTTCGAAAATTTATATTCTTCACAGTTTTAAATTAGGCAACTGTGATCAATATCAAGTGTTGTCTTACCAACTAACCGTTAAGTTCCTTACCCAACTTCTTAAAATAGTGGGATTAAATCTCTGCAAATACTTATTTTGTCTAAATGTGTTGAATTAAAAAAATAATTAACTGGATAATACCCTTCTGCCTTATTTCTTTACTTATTAAAAACGGAAGTCTAGTGCAACCTTGTTACGACTGAAACTACGATCTAGTAGACCATGAGCGGATAGTAACTTAATGCACTGGTTAATCTGTCTTAATCGCGCATCAACAACAGTAACATCGTCCGCATGCAAAGATAGAAGAGAAGACTGAACCATGACAGGCATTAATTTCATTGATAAATTAAACAGGGAACAACCAGTAGGACTTCAAAGGTCATAAGTAGGGGAGAGAAAGTCAGGTCAAAAATCAATAAGTATTACAAACAGACATGTAAAAATGACATGTAGAAAATTAGGTCTGTATTTATATCACACCCCAACCGCATTAGATATATCGTGGGCTATTTTCCAACTCACATGTCACATGTTATATTAGAGTTGTCCAAGCGTTATATATTACCTATGTGGACACATAATACTACTCGGTTTCTCACTTCAAAGCTAATTAGGCAAAAAATTTAGAACTGAGACCCGTCAGTTGAAAGTAAAAGCGTGCAAGCTCAAAAGTCGGACTGCTTTATTTCGAAGCATTTTTCCAACATACAAGCTATCATTCTTATTGAATTTTAATATCATGCTGCCAGCCATAAATTACTGGACTTTTGTAAAACTTTCACCAAGTTTTGAAAAACTCATTTCAACATGTAAATTTTGCTTCTTTTAGAGTTCACGGTTTTATCATGCACTGAGAAGATCTATTGAAGAAATTGAAAAGGCTTCACACATGTCTTTGGAGGTAAGATTATGTCACAATAACTATGAAATTCTCAAATGAATTAAAAAACTAAGATCTTGGTAATAGAAGATGACAGAAAAATATGTGTAGAATACAGAAAGTTACATTCGTAATAAAAACTCATTTCAATCCTTTTTATTTAATTTCATATGGTACAAATCCCAACTGTTAGGTGAAATTTTGGTAAGAGTTTTCAAAGGTGGTTTATAAAATAATCATAGTACTGAAAACACACTTGTGCAATGCAGTGTAGTGACTTTCTTATATAACTGGACAGCTGTTGAACCACTTCTAACAATGGGAATACAAACCGTCACCTAATATCTTCCTTTTGTTGAACAAAGATATTTGCAGGATAATACAAACTGGTTTTTACTTCGTGGGTTCTCTTCAACTGCGTACATCCCAAACAATATCAGAATATAAATTACAAATTTGTTTTGAATACACTTTTCATGCAGTGACGTCAAGCTATGGATAAAAAGTGTAAGGAATATAATTCCAAAATGATGTAAGTAGACAAATTATTCAGTGTTAAAAGGCGAAATATTTGTAGGATAATTAGACAAGAAGGGAGAGGAGCGAAATTCAGAGATTTTGTAACTTATATTTTGATATTGTCTAGGATGTACTACGCAGATGAAGAAAATCTACCAAATAAGATGAGCCCGTATTATATGCCTTCTTTCTTAGTTCAAAATAATCAAGAGAACCGGTTGTATGAAAATCTTTTTTGTACTTTACAGTTATACAATTGATGATCCAAGCTGACGTGTACTTCCGATAGAACATAGTGACCTCAGTTACATCTCATGGGGACTTCCTATAACTTATACAGGTCCATTTGAACTTTTTTACCGCTAGTTCAGATGTGCCATAAAGAAGTTTACTAATGAAGTCTTCAGAGTTACTTTTAAATACCTTCCAGAAAAATATTTGCTCATGTGAATTATTTAAAAAAAATAATAATCATTAGGGTCTATTTCAAACAATATGTGAACATATATTACAGCAATTTTCAGTGTATTTAGTTCCAAAATATTTCCTCCTCAAACAGAATTTACATGTAAAGTAATAATTTGAAGTACATCATTTGTAGTTGTATTACTGCATATCAGGATAAAACCATTTCTATGCATTTTTTCTTCAGTTGCACAGCGTATAGTGGGAAACTAATTAAATATGCGTACGAGTTCATGTACTGGTCATTTGATATAACTGCAAGCATAAAATAATAAGAAGTGCAGAAGAGTTTAAGCATTTTAATGGATGGAAATTCTGGCAGCCCAGTAATTTAAGCCGGCCACCGGATAGGACTACAGATTACAAATGAATTCTTTAAATTAATCTAACTTTTGTTTTCTGTTTATTCAGGAACGTATTTATACCTATGGTTATCCATACTCAGAAAACAAAAATGAAAATATGCATGAGGTGAGAAATATTTAAGCTCTGTGGAAATATCAAGATTTGAGATATGTCAGCTGAATGTTTTTGCTTTTTTTCTAGTAATGAAATTGCAAAATCTTAAAATGGTGATTTGAAAGTAACATCTCTGCTCTGTATTTCAGTGTGTATTTTTGCGCTTCAAAATAAAATTTATGTGCCTCATTATCGCTATCTAATATTGTGTATTTCATAACCCAGGGAAGTCTTCTTACACCCATCAAATTTGTTCTATGCACTACTTATATTGATTTTTACACATTCGTTTCGACTGACATGTAGAAGTGTATTACATAAATGAAATGACTGTCAGGCTACAACTGCTGCTCCTCCGGGGTTCGATTCCTGGCTACTGGACGCACTCATTTAACTCGCCAAGCCAGTAATAAAAAGCTGGTAAAGAGGAAAGGTTGGGCATAAGGCTAGCAACCCCATGCTGTAAAAATGAATACTGCTACAGGAACTTCAAGTCTGTAGCTTGAAGCTCTGTGTTCCATTGGGAACGTGAAGGAATGAAAAAAAAAGAATAACTGTTTGTTGATTCTCATGGGGTTTAGATTTTTTTAATATGTAAATATTACATTTCTGAACTGTCTCAACAAGTACTATTCTGAAGTTAAATACTTCCTGTGAATTCCACCCAACTTTATTACATCATTCAAAGCGCATAAACATGATAACGAATCTCTGAGGTTGGTGATCATATAGCAAATTTGATCAATGAAATTAACCCAGCACTCTCAGCCTTATGACATAAAATTGGTTATCCTCCCGTGATAAATCAATCTAGCAAAGTAGGTTGATTTTAGGTAGATATTCATATGCAGTTCTAAGGTTATAGTTTGAAACCGTGGATTGTAAGATTTCGACACAGTGATTCAATTATAACATATTATCTACGAAGTCCGATGTTCTCTGGATTGATTAATTTACGATTTGTAAACGAGTATTGCTGAAGAGTCCTAGACCTGGTCGAAATGCGTCTAATGTCTTCTGTTTTTCACTGGTTCTCGATAAACACCCACTTTGAAATATGTCATATCTTTCTTTTAGATGAAGAAGATTAAAAAGGTGAGCGAACGAAAACCCTCCAACAAAAATCTCACTGGTCATAAGAAGAGTAGTCCACAATCAAAGAAGGTATGCATTTCTACCATGACAACACATTTTCTTTGTAGATGAATGAGATAATCAGTCCCAACGTAACTCCTTTAAATGACACAAAAGATGTTCCACTGAATAGCGGTAAGTTTGATTGTCTTAATTATTGTCGTACTTTTCTGAAAAATGAATTAATATTATTACAGGTGGATTTTTTCATTCCTCATGTTCGGAGTTGAACACATGACTTTAATCTTTGAAGTTTCAACACCATTAGCTTTGTTATTTGGGGTGGAATTGCTAGCCTTATACCTAGTCTTCCTCTTTTCCGGAATCACTATCAGCTAGTAAAGGGGAAAGATATAGGAGTGGGTCGAGAGGGAATCAAACCAGGAATTCTAGTGTATCTAGCGGGAATTACACCAACGTATTGCCCCAGGCGATAATAAGCAAACATTTAGTAATAAAAATGATAATAATAATAAATGAACAATATTGTTCTCAATTATATCTCATTTGATTTAACTCACATCTACACAACTTTACAAGTAAATAGTGAAAGCATTCAAGGTGATTCATCGCATCTCACCGAATTCTTCCTATGAACTTTGTATTCGTCTATTACATATAGCTGAAACGATAGGTATTCAAATTAATAAGCTTAATAAGCTATGCACTCAAAAGAAGTTCGTACAATCATTATCCCACCACTGACCTATTAAGCCCTAGCCAGCTTATGACGTTACCACCGCCGCTCACTTATATTTCTAATCCCTCCATTATGGATAAGATTTTATTTTGATAAGTTACACAGTGTTACACAATAATATTAACTGATGACGTTTCGAGCACAAATTATTGCTCATAATCATATCAAGTTACCCACACAACTTTTTCCTTCATTTATATACATGTGTAGAATTGACTAGATATTTAGTTATACTCTACCACAGTGCCCAAGTTTTATACTTATTTCCCAATCCCTCTCTTGTCATCCATTAATCTCATCCACATCTTGATTAAAACATGGTTTATTTACTTCCCTTACAATCTAGAGTTGTTTAATCGGGTCATTTGTTCTTCTTAGCCTTTATAGACTACTTCTACCTAAACATTTGTTTGCTTCATCATGCTGTTTTTCATTATTCTTGTTACCACAGATCACTCCACTTTTTCGTCTTTGATATTGGTAGAATTATTATTATTATTATTATGACTAATTGCAGAATTAGTAAAAACAACAGCTTTATTAGGCACAATAGGTTTATACAATATGCAAAATTTCCAGCGTATTTTATTGAATAATATTCACTCTTCATCCAGGAGTTTCAAGTAAAACAGCCATCTTCAGTACATCATGTGACGCAGTGATGTTAATCCTGAAGAATAAAATGATCCACTGCGGTGTTTTTCTTTGACCCCTCAGAATTTGAGCAACAGTAGGTTGTAAACCAATCAAAAATGTGTATGAGTAAATTTCGCGACTGATGAATATAACTGAATGGTTATAACAACGAAAACTGAAGAAAAGAAAATGCATTGTCTCTGATGAAAATTCAGGTAGACCAATGATTCAAGCAGGTTGGCATGATTATGTTCACAATCTTATTACCCTATTGACAAAACACCGTGACTGATTTCTATCTTAATATTTATTTGTAGAGTTATTTATATTAGAAAAATAATAATGTCATCTGCCGTCATTAGATGATGAGAATGGATTATACAACAAGTAGTTGTTAGAACACGACATTATATTTACCGGCTTTTAAATCATTAAGTTCATTTTACAACGAAGTAATCAAATTAATGAAATGTATAATATTAACGAAAAATTTAACAAATGCATTTAACAATTCTTAGGTTTTATTTAATGTCTTAAAATAATTTCAAAATTTTTGCCACTTTCTTTAGAGTTTATTCTCAGTAGTGAATTGGGAGTTCCTAAAATCTTCACTGGAATTGAGTATTCACACTACCGTTAGCTAAATCAGGACACTAAAAGATTTAATGCCTGGGCTATGTCAGCTTGATATATTATAATTATAATTGTTCCCTAGGGTTCCGAGTGAAACCCAGAACTTCAACAACACATCACCAATTCGTCCTCTTCTCTGCCATCCTCTGCAGCTGGCCGGTTCCACGATTATCTATAGCAACTCATCTCCTCATCTAAATACCTTCATGTCACACCCGACCAATACCCAATCGTCGCTTTCCAATCCGGCTCCACTCGAAAGATAGGTGGTCTGCATTCCGCGTGATTCCATTCGACGGTCTCCTCAGCGTGTGTCCAATTCGTCTCCACTTTCTTCTACATATATGCTGAACAATAGGTTCCTGGTTTGTTTGTTCATCTTCAGACTTTCTTGTTGCTAGTTGTTTCTGGCTGGCCGTCTGATCTTCACTAAGGAGCCAACAAAGTGGGCAGCTGTTGATAAAACTCTGCAGCTGGCTGTTGAAAATGCATTTTGTGACCCTAACATTTGTGTTGAACAGAATCCGAATCTCGTTGTTTATACTGGCTGAGTGAGTGCAGAAGATTTCCAAACTGGTTTCAGGTTGATGAAGGTGTATCTTGCCTTTCCGATTCTGACTTTGACATCTTCGTCCGTTCCGCCTGCAGTTGAAACGATGCTTCCCAGATAAGTGAAGGAGGCAACCTCTGTTAAATCTCTCCCGTTGATGGTGACTGGTGCTGGTTGTTGTTGCTGTTGGTTGGTTGGTTATCCGCATCACCTCCGTTTTCTTTGCGTTCCTGTCTTCGCTACTCGCCTCTTCAGCCAGTTTGTTGCTTCTCGCCTGCCTACAAGTCTTCGAGTTTGTGTGACATCAGTCATAAATCGTTCACGCACGAAGTCCAGATCTCCTAGAGTCTTCTCATCGGTAGTCCAGCGTATTCCTGTCGTCTCGCTCAGCGCGTACAGTCTGCCGCCTAATCCAGTCAGTCCACCACAGTTTCTGAATATCATCGATGATAGTAGTCAGGCAGCAGCCAACCAGTCAGACTTGCCTTACTCCTGTATTCACTTCGAACGCCTCACTGGGTTTTCCGTTGTGGATCACCAGACACATGGCATTGTCATATACCCACATGTTGAATGAGGTTGATACAGATTTGGTCACTGCACGCCATAGTGCTGAAATAGTTTCCAAACTACTTCTCGGTCAACACTGTCTGTCGACGGCCTTTTCGAAGCCGATGAAGTTGAGATAGATAGATAGATTTGACTGTCATTCTATGCTTTGTTGTGTGATGACGATGCGTATAGTTGCAATTTGATGAGCACATTATTTGCCTTGCCTGAATCCAGCTTGTTCTGGTGGTGGGGCGGAGTTCTGCATCCAGAGCATATTTAATTCTCTGCAAGATGAGGCGACTTCGTATTTCACTTGGCATAGATAAGAGCATCATTCGGCGCCAGTTTTTGCAGAAGCTCTTCTTTGTTACCCTGATAAGGTAGCCTTTCTTCCAATCGGTGGGTACCTTTCCTTCCTTCTACATGGTTTGCAATAGTGGTGTGAGCATATCCACTTGGGTCTCTGGGTTCGTTTTCAATGCTGCAGGGGAGTTCCGTCCGATCCTGCTGCCTTCTCGGACGTCAGTGGCTTGATTGCATTCAAGACATCTGCTTTCGTTGAGGGATTGGTGTCGACTGATAGGAATATCCGTGTGTGCTGTTGTTGTCGGTATTTCGGGATGAGTTGCCAGTGGTGGTCGATTCAAGAGTCCTTTGAAATGATCGACCCACTGTTTTACTTGTCTCCACTCTTCCGTAATGAGGTTCCCTTGAGCATCTTTTATTGGTTTCAGCATCTGGGTTGATCTCTTCCAGGATGGAGACCTGGTTATCTGATATAGTGTTTTGAGGTCGCTTCTACCTGCGGCCTGTTCTGTTTCAGTTGCTAGCTAGTGTGTTGTAAGATTTTGTTTTGTCTTTCCTAGCCGTTTTCTTTTTTCTTGTTCATCGCCCTGTAGATTGTACTCAGCTTCTCTTTCTCTTGTCCATCTTTTCAGCGGTTCACCTTCTGTTTTGCCATCCTCCTATCTTCTGTTAGCTGCCATGCGTTCGTTGTGAGGCATTCTTTGTCTCGCCTCTTCTTGCTTCCTAGAGTGTTTGCAGACGTTTCCTTGAACATTAGTTTTAGAGAGTTCCAATGTCCTTGTACAAGGGTTTCCTTAGTGATGCTAGATAGTGTCTCGAACTTTGCTGTGATGCCTGCTGTGAATGTGTGTTTTGTATCAAATAAAGTATAATTATATTTCAATAGTTTACACACCATGATAAGTTTTGTTATTGGTAATATTTGTTTTGTAGTTTCATCTTTCAGTTTGTGAGTGTTGGACTTAAATTGTAGTGTGTCTCCAGAATTTTTGAAGGTCTTCAGCTTGACCAGTGTGAACTGTGTATCTTGTTTATATTTTGTATACTTAACAATGGTATAATTTGAATTACCAGTACATATTAAATGTTTATAAGTCTTTGTGAATAGTATTGATTTGTTTGCAGGCAGTCGCTATAGTAGTTTTTTAGTTTACTGATAAATATTTTGTTATTGCGTGAATAATGTTAAGACTATTGCTATTGTTCAATCACATTCACTCTGAAATTATTTTTGTCGCCTTGTTTATGTGAAAGAAAATAATTCTAATAATAATGGACAACAATGTTCATATTTTTTATGAAAGAAACTAGTTAAAATATCAGATAATCATGTCACCACATGTTTATTCCAAACTATTTTGGTCAGTGTAAAAATAATAAGTGGAATAAGTGAAATAAAGAATTAGGAATCAGGAAAACTAAAAGCAACAATGAAATTACTAGCCAGATTAAAATAAGAAAACTTTCCTGGAACCTATTGGAAGGTTGTTGGCTGTACTAGCCCAGATATATAAAATACATAATTATTGTTCTTTCCTCACGTTCTCATATGCATATCCTCATTGCGGTCGGTCCTCTGAGGTCATTCCCACCTGGCTGCAAGCTTTCATTTCGCTCTTTACGTGGTATCCTCCACGACCATACAACTCATTGTTTCCCATTTGAGTTCCACTTGAGGGTCGGGACTTTTGTATCCTGCGAAAGTTTCCTTAGTATATGTGGAGTGCGTCTTCATTTCCTCCCACATATTTGTTGATCAATATAAAATACATGTATGTCCTTAGTAGTCTTATACAGAAAATAGCCGGTTCCTGCAAAATATTGTGTTTTCTGAAGATTAAGGTCTTCCGTAAGTATGTAAATAATCTTACGGTAAAGCTTTGAGTGACGTTTTCAATGTTTTTATTCGATGTTCAAGCACAGAGTATAATTAGTGAGCTATTAATTTTAATTCAGCTGTCAGTGCTCAGTTTACATAGAGTGAAATAAAATTCCTATATATATTAGTCAATTGGTAGTCCCATGAATAAATAAGCAATTTAATGAGTGGAAACTGCTTTTATCCGTTATTGTATGTTTGATATATCTTCAGTAGAAATGATTACAAGTGAAGTGAATGTTAAGCATTAAGTCTACACGATGGATTAGCTCATGCATAATGCAACTAAGTCAGCGACCAAACGAAAATTAAAAATCATGATATGACGCGACCACTAGCGAATGTCAACGGCGAGTATTTGTCCCTACAGCCGACCTGCTGTACTCCACTGGTCACGACTTCGCACTAGAAACCAGGTAACTACATACCTGAATAGGGCTAGTCACTAGTCACCATCAGACTGATATTCAAGTGTTGATTTTCAGAGATTTGGTTGGTTTCAGGATCAGGTGTGAGGACAAATACTCGGAAAAGATGACACTTGCTAGTGGTCGCGCCATATTGTGAATTGGCAGAAGATGGAATTCATGGACCATTGGATCCGGTCCCAATGGCTTAATGGTCTACGAGCTCGCTAGCCTTGTGACCAAAAGGCCCTGGGTTCTAACCCTGGTGGTGTGTGTGTACTGATGAAGAGTTTCAAACTAGGCCGACGAAACAGTTTTCCAATGGTCCTCTAATGGATGTCAGTTCATGATGAAATCCTGAAACCAATCAAATCCCTGCAAAACAAAACCTGAATAGAAAACCATAACATAAGATAAAGTATGTATACAAACAACGAAAAATTACGCATATCTGGTCCTTTAAAGCCTGTATATTATAAAATGTGACGCATAGTGTGGGTAACGAAAACTTTGATCACAGTAAGTAAAGTTATTCTAAAATGCCAGGCTGTAATATTTCCCATCTTCTATCTACAACCTTGTATTGTATTTTACATTGATTTATTTTCATCCTAGCACACCTGAACGAAGTAATGATTATTTTAATTGCATGCTTTTGTAGTACTTAGAATGCCTAACCTATTGAAACTTCAATTAAAACTAGATTGTTTTTCAATGCACATATTAAAATATAAATGAAATAAAGTGTAGTTTTTTTCTTTGTTGGAGTCTAACAGTCTTCTTGTAGGACTCTATCACAGCCTGAAATAATTTAATGAACTATCCAATTCAATGATTGAATACTAAACTCCAAAATATGCTGATAATGTGGCATATGCTACTGACAAGAATTATCACTAGTATATAGACGCTGACTGATGAAAAGTAGCCGAAATTGAAAACAACATTTTAAGACAGTGGTTACAGAAGAAGAAGTGTTCATTTCTCCAATTTGGATCTATCTTACGCTGTCATCAGCATTCATTCTCAAGGTTTGATCTTCAGAAAATCCACAACCAATTAGAACAGTTTATTATCGGCTAACTTAGCCAACCGTAAATGTGGTCAAAAATGTTAGAATAAAAAAGTCCCTTACCAAGTCTCTTGCCTCTTTTCCCGTAATAATAGTACTGGGATCAGTTCCTTCTGTGACTGAGGGCTAACACAATTGAACACTCAAAAAATCTGGTATGAAACGGCTTTTAATTCTGTTTTCTGACTTTTTAACAATTCTATATTTAATGTCAACTTCTGATAAAGTCCGTCTTCAAATCAGCTGCACTTCTCAGGCTATTTTAGGTTATGTATTTTGTTAAATAACATTGCAGATATATTTTATTATCCATTTATAGATCAAAACATGGATGAAGATTGCAAGGAGGAACGTATAATGATTACACATGAACAATAAATGAACTAAGAAACAATATTGTTTAACTGTTGAACAAATTATGCATAAATTTTTATTAAAACAGTTTCTGTAGTTGAATTTCACATACAATACAAACTTTCTATTGTTCTCATTTTTTTAATATCAATTGTTCTTGTTCGCTGGAAAACTATTAGGACCTTTTTGAATGCTTTTGACTGCTTGAATTACGGAATGTAGATAAGCCTTTCTTTGTGTGGTTAAACTGTGATTGATTTCACATCATCTTATCTTTCTTTTAAGCACTTAAAGATAGCTGTCATAGTGAGTTACCTCAACGAATGTAGTAGTTCAATGTGTACATTAACATTTGGTTGTATAAATGTTATCAACTGAAAATGCGGTTCTAAGCATAGCGATCATGCAATGAAACTTTCAAGCAAACTAACATTATACTCCTTGCAGTTTAAGAATCCTGATAAATTCCTTTTTTTCTAATCCTTTGGGTTCGGAGTGGTACATAGGGCTTCAACAACACATCTCCACTTGATTCTATTTTCTGCTGTCCTCTGCGGCTGACTCATTCCATGATTACTCACAATCTCTCATCTCCTCCTCCCCCTCCTCGACTCACGATCTCCTCCACGCTAGCCTCGCACCGACGACCCACTCGTCACTTCCCATTCCATTGCAATTCCACTTGAACGATGGATGACCTACACAGCACGCGATGTTATTCGACGGCCTTCTCAGTGCCGTATGCCCGATCAATCCATCTCTTTTTCCCCCTACATATTTGTTGATCAATCAGCTCTCAACTGTTGGTTTGTTCCACTGAAGAGTTTCTTGTTGGTAATTGTTTCTGGTCGGCCGACTGCCCGGTGAGTTGATCTTCAGTATGGAGCCAGCCAGTGAAGTGAACGACATTGAAGGCATCTGTTGATGAAAGTCTGCAATGGCTTGTTGGAAATGCCTTTCGTGACACGCAGTACAACTTTCTGACCCATATAGAAGAAATGACTGACTGACTTCACATTTATGTTGAACAGAATCCGAATCTCGTTGTTTATACTGGCTGAGTGAGTGCAGAAGATTTCTAAACTGGTTTCATGTTGATGAAGGCATATCTCCTGTAGTCAGCATAAAAGATTACAACAAATAGTTTTTTGACTGCATTACTTAACCTCTTTTCAACAAGTTTATTTACTTTAAAGCAGTTTCATTTACTATCCTCTTAGTTAATTAAACTCCATAAAGAGGAACAAAAACACTAGTCTCTACAAGTGGGTAAAGATTAACAAAATTGGTTATGCTGTTGTACTTAACGGAAGATGCCAACTGTATCAGAGATGCTTCACCTAGATAACCGACAACTTTGGTAGCACTTTTACTGTGACAGAAGCAGAGATTAGAATTTATCTCTTGTGTCAAACAATTCATTTTTTTATCAGCTGATGTTATTGGTCATTTTCATAAAAGTACGCAGTTAAGGTAGCAGGTACTCGCCCATAAATGAACAAAAATTTGCGATTTTTCCATTTGCGGTGTCATTTTATAGTGGTTATCACATGTGTACTGGATGAAAAGTAGATACTCAGTCAACCAAACACCATCATCAAAGAATGCCTTAAATAATGGTGCATTACACAACAAATTTTTCATAGGTTAATATCTTATATAAGATGCATTGAAAAGCTGTTACATATGTGGCTGTGAGCAACTAAAAAGCAACTTATTATTACATTTTAATTACCTTTCCTTCAAGTTCCAGTGTATCCGCACTGCAGTCTGCATCTATTCATCACATGTTTTCTATAATATCTTTGATATTATCTGGAAAAGACATAGACGCAGTACTGTAATTATATCCTTTTTTATCGTCCAGAGGTCACTGGCTTTTTAGAAAGCCTGAATGCCTCCTTTGGATGTTTTTTAAAGTATAGTCATTGACTTGTGTCAGTGTATGCGCTTCTAATCGAAAAGTATAGATAATATTTTAGTGTTGAAGTTTATAGGAATAAATTATATGGAAGATACTCTATCTTAAAAGCCACATTATCACCTTATGACATACTTAAAGGTGTACTGATCGTAATCTATGCATAAAACATTAAATGCAAGTTATTATGAAGTGTACGTTTTAAATCGTGCAAGAACCTTAAACTGAATATTCGGCTGCTTATGTAATCTACCAGCGGCAGTTACTAGCCTTTCTACAATATACTCACTGGAACGTCTGTAATACTTATCCAATAAACAGAAACTCTAATAAACAATATCGATTGAAGCGAAGAAACTCAGGGGTTACAGATTTTCAGTTATTTGCTTTATAATTTATCTATAAGCATTAAATGTGTAATACTTTCTAGTTCTATGTGATGTCGATGTGTTCGGTTTTATATTTGTGATATGACTAGATTATACTGCCTTCATTTCTGCCAGTTTTCTCTCAGCGCACAAAAGCTGAAGAGTAAATGTTACATTACTATAGTGAATTATACTGAGACTATGGAAGTACATACGGGTGACATGTTTTGTACTAAATGCAGTAGATATTATACACAAGTATTGATTAGTTGTTTTATGTTTGTGAAACAGTCGGAGCTAACTTCAGAATTTTAGACTCACCATGATTGATGACTGAAATTGAAATAAGAAACATAAATTGTTGCAGAATTCGTATTAGAAGCCTCCGGATTATTAACCCTATAATTCACTGACTTTTTTCGAAATTATTCAGCTTATAATCCTATCACAATATAAACTGAAATTTTGACTTCACTCACCGATCAGTGCGTCAGTTGTCATTATTATACTATCACTCGCTTGGGGCCCGAGTAGAACACAAGGCTGCAACAGCACAGCTCCATTTCACTGTGTTCTGTGCAGTCATTTTAACTGGCTCAAAGATTTCCCACAAGCTTTCATTTCCTCCTTATGCCGTCTCCTTCATATGCCACAGTCGGACACCAAACTCATCCTTTCTCATTTGGATCCTACTGAGAGGCCTTATGTGTATGATGCCAGTCAACAATCTCCTCAGTATATGTCCAGTCCATCTGCATTTCTTTCTACATATTCACTGGACAACAGATTCTTGGTCGGTTCGCTGCCAGAGTTCCTTGTTGTCTACTCTGTCTGTCCAGTCATCTGATTTTCAGTATGGAGCCATCGAAGGCAACTTTTGAAACATATTTGAATATATTACTTCATTTTTCTTAAGTGACTTTATCAGAAAACTTTTAACTCAGTTGACCTGTTTGGTAATTGAGATTAAAGTCTGAATTCTCTCAGTCTCTTGTTTCGTATTGACTACTAGCTAGAAATCCATCTCTTCTCAAGCTGACAATATTCTGATTTACTCTTAGTGTAGCAAATAAATTGTCAGCTGAGTTATTTCCGTCAAAGAATATACAATCAGAAATTTAATAACTTAATAGGGATTATTTAATGATGCGACATTATTTTCACTGTTTTAATCATGATTACAGATATTTATTCGTGCTTTGATTCATCGATTATCATGTTTCCTGTTACAGGAACCAAAATCTCGAGATTTCAGTGAATTCGTGTCCCAAGTAATTGAGGAGATTTCAAATATCCCCTTGGATGTATTGTATCGAACCTATTTTGATAAAGCAATGAAAAGAAAATACCGTTCATTGGGAGATAATGTAAAGAATATGTGTAATCAAGACGCAGAGAAATGTTCATCTTTTGATTACATTTCTTCAGGGAATAAGTGTCCAGAGGGTCACTGTAAACGAAAAATAAATACTACTCAGAATAGTCTGTTGCAGAATAAAAGTGAAATTCAGTTAGTGGAAGAAAATGCAGAGAATGAAGACTTGCCAGGTATATATCTACTTTCTCTTCAAAATACAATTACTTTCCATGTCGTATTTTGTTTATTATTGACGGGAAACAAGTTAAAAGTGACAGCATCTATGGGAATTCACAAAAGATATTATGTTTCACATTTTTATTTTACAACTGCTACTTAACCTAACAACTACCACTAAGTGTTCATTCTTCATCAAAGGGACTCTGTTTGCACAAAAAATATATACACCTAGGTGCAGTTTCGCTGTGAATAGACCCTCAAAAAACAGTCGCATTAAGTAGATTTATTAAGCTATGCTTTTGCCTAGCTATTTTTTCCTTCACGTCCCCCAGTGGAACATAGGGCTTCAAGCTAGTGGCTTGAAGTTTCTGTAGCAGTGTTTATTTTACAGGATGGGGTTGCTAGCCTCATGCCCAACCTTTCCTCCACACCAGCATTATTTCTGGCTTAGCGAGGTAAAGGAGTGCGTCGGCCGGGGATCGAACTCCGGACCATGTGCATGGTCGGCGAGCGTCCTAAACTCTATGCCACCGACGCACTTCGCCTGGCTTTACTCCACATTTTCACAGCCAGCTCATATAGACCAAATAATCTGTTCTTATTAGGAGGTTACTTCCTGAAAACTGTTTTAACTAGCTGAAAAAATTCTTTGTTCTAATTCACTGTCTATAAAAATTATTGCTTTGATTCAGCCGAAACCACGGACAAAGAGATGCGAAGTAATGACTTAGAAGTACTGGGTATCTGCGAATGGATGTGGATTGACATTGTCAACAGGAGGGTCAATAATCTACTCCGGTCACCCAGGCGACAACCACGAACACACCAAGGGAGTGGCTATCATGATACCACCAGTGGCAGCCAAAGCTCTAGTGCAGTGGGAACCAGTTTCATCCAGGATCATGACAGCAAGATTCAACTAAAACCGAAGGAAGGTAAAAATTACCCAATGTTACGCACCTACAAACAACGCGGAACAAGAGAAGAAGGAGGATTTTTACAGACAACTACAAGCAGTAATGGACAACATCCCAAATGGAGATATCAAAATCTTCATGGGCGATATGAATGCCAGCTGAACTGGCAGCAGATAATACAGGAAGAGAACTCATGATGGGTCGAGAGACTGTGGCTTAGAGAAATGAATGAGAACGGAGAACTATTCACAGACTTCTGCTCTTTCAACGATTTGCTGATCGGAGGGAGCGTGTACAAGCACAAGGATATGCACAAAGCAACATGGATTTCGCCTGACGGACATACCACAAACCAGATAGACTTCATCTCAATGTAGCTCAAGGAAGTG